CTCAGGATATCATTATTTATTCCATTTTTTCTTTCTTTATTTCCTTAGGCATCAAACATCCAGGTATGCAAAATTGTTGAAAATCGAAGAGTGCATGCTCGTGATTTATTCCCCTCTCCAAAAATGGGTCGCATAATTAATGGCCGCAAGTTTTATGGGGCCCCCGGCGGGGATCTATGTCAGGCCGCGGTGACTATGGTGATCCGATCCAGCGTTTTTTTCGTGTGTGGTGTGGAGGGCGAGGGTTTCGCGGCATTCTCCTTCCGAACTTCGTGAACTGTCGGTCTTGAGGGGAGTTTTTTGCGGGCATGAATGGCTTTTGTTTCGGCTTTGTGCGGAAGGGGGCGAGCGGTAAAAGTACGAAGTTTGTGTTCGAGATGTGCTTGCAACAAGCTTCGGAGCAATTGTCACGTAAAGTTTTACAAGTGAAAAGCTCGGATTTGCATAAAACTGACAAGGGAAATACCCCAAGTCCGACGCTCAGATTTTATTTAAATTTTGCGCACACGTCGGACATAGACTAGGCGTCAATTCCCGAAAGTTTTAGCTCTCGCTTTGAAGGCAGATCCAAGATATTGAACGATGTTTGTCGCCGAGAGAGTACGATAAACGTGGAGAGCGGTCAGAGAAAAGTCTTTTTTGGCCATAACTTCGCTAGTTTCGTGCGGAAAAAATTGATTTTTTGCGGACACATTACACTCTACGGTAGAATCAGGTGCGAAATTTTCCAAGCCAACATTCGCAAAAAATTGCCAAATTTTCACCAATTTTCCACCTAAAAATTTTGGTTATTTATGCAAAGCGCGAGCTAGGATTCTCGCATTATTTTCAGAAAAAAATTTTCTAAATTTGTGTCAAGTTTCAGCAAAATCTGAGCGTCGCACTTGGGGAATGGGAGGGTAATATTGCGGTTGATTTTGAAATATTTTGTAAAGTCTTTTTGGGCAGAAAACACAATCAATCAAATCTATGTATACATCTCAAGGTGCGTCGCTCAAATCCTAAATTTTAGCTCGAATTTTTCAGGAAAAACCGAGATGTAGAACAATCTTTGCAGTACACCGAATGTGAAGCGCGGCCAGAGAGAAAAACACTTTTTCTTTGTGAAAACACTGCCTTCTACAACAGAAATAATTGCCAAACTTTTCCATGCCAAAATTCGCAAAAAACGCCACATTTTTGGAAACTTTCCACTTAAAAATCTCGATCGTTTCAGAAAAGCGCGAGCCAGAAATCTCGCATGATTCTTAAAAAAAATTATTCTAAATTTACACCAAGTTTCATCATAATCTCAAAGCGTCGCACTTTGAGCACTTTTCTGTCAATGTTTTTTTGATCATTTGAAATAGTGATGATCACATCCGAATCCCTTGTTTACCAGCCCTCGGATTCGAGGAAATCCGTATTAAACTTGAGGCCAGTGCGTGGTCATAGAGATTAGATCAGTCCCAAATTTTTCCGTGAACTTCCATGATTTTGGAGTTGTCCGTGTGGAATTCTAAAAGCTTGTGTTTTCAAAATCAACTGTCTTTTTGTGATTTTGTGATACTTTTTGATACCAAATTTAGCGTTTTTTCATACCGTCTTTGTCAAAAAAAATATTTTGATCGTTCCGCAAGTGTAGTCAATGGGAGAACTACAGTGGGAGACCTGATTCAGCGGCAAAAAACGTACCATTTTGCATTCGGAAAGTGTCAAAAAATGTGGCAAAATGTTTCCCTCTCCAAATAAAAAAAAACTCCGTTTTGAAGGGCCTCGCAAAAAGAGCGGACGTCTTGAAGTCGGAGTTTTTTCACTTGGAGGTATTTTGCCACATTTTTTGATACTTCCCGGATGCAAAATGATACGTTTTTTGCCACTGGAGCAGGTCTCCCACTGTAACTCAAACTTAAAGGCTCAGAGTTTGATAAATTCTGTGATTCTTTTTGATGCCAAATTTGGGCTGATTTTAACCTCTTTTTTCGAATTTCCCACTTTTTGTTGATTGGGAAAAATAAGGCATAAAAAGTGTTATTTTTGTATTTCACCGACGATCCCAAGTTCACGTCTTATTATCAGTCCGTCGGGAAAATAACAAGTACCTCCGCGACACACTTCATTTTCTCAGCGGCGATACGATTTTCGCTGCGACAGAGTGCTTATTATTTTCCCGACGCACTGAAATCACTCTTTTGTAAATTCGAGAACTCCAATTCAAGTGTGACGCAAGTTCAATACGTATACTCTCTACTCGGAGTAATATTTTTTCCACTGACTTCCCAGCTTCCCACGTACCGTCAGCCCTTCTGACCGCACCCCCGAGCGGATTAACATACAATCAAGCCCGCTGTGTTGTGTGCGGTTTACAATTCTGATTTTTTATGGGCTTCATAAAACCGCTCTCCGAATTGTGAAGGCGGCCACCAATTCCAAAAATTCGAGCAATTTTTGAGCGTCATGTTAATTTGATTGGGGCAAATTCAATTTAACTATATTGATTGTTCTTTTGTGGCGAGCTGCTTAAGGATTTAGCGTGGAATTTGTTGGGAATATAGAGAATTTTTAGAGAAAAAAGAATGGTTAGTTTCAAAGGCTTAAACTGGTTATACGTTTTTAATCGGACGGATTGCGGAGAAAAGAGACATGGTTTTGATGAAACGTAGAGTACGTAAAGCACATTTTGAATATTGGAATTTGATGAGGCCTTGACGGAAACGTTGGATTCTCAGCGAAGGCTCAGAAGGGGCTTGGCGAAGACTTGCAACACGACCACTTTTTTCATTTCCTATTCCTTTCCTTGAGCTACTGTAGCGTAGAAGGAACAAAAATTTCATTTTTTTTGATGTGAACTAGACATGGTTCATCGGCCGGCCGAAAATTGCAGCCCGAGGGCACGAAGAGGCCGGAAAACAAAACTCTACCCATGTCTGGTTCCTTATGAGCATATTCTTATCTATGGTCATGCAAATAGCTTCGGAGTATCTAAAAATAAAATTATCTCACAAGGAAGGCACTTTTATGGGGGTTCCTACATTTCGATGGGACATATCTCAAAAAACCCAAAAAATAGAGCTGATTAAGAGTATGTAAAAATTAGGTGCCCAATTTTGGGTTTTAGGGGTGAAAAATCAAATGACCGGCCACGCTGTTTATCGTCTGAAATGCCTGCGCCTTTTGTAGGGGAATTAAGCCAGTTTTTGGGCATTTTGTACCCTTTTAAGGGCATTTTGGACCCTTTCCGATGAGTTAGGACCTGGATGAAAATTACAAAAATAGGTTTTGGAACACGACAAAGATGATGGTGAATACCGCTTGTCTCTACGGTGCGTACTTTCCGAGATACTGAAAATGGGCCTCCACTACAGTACGCCCAACTACAGTAACTTTTTCGAAATTTTTTTGTGAAATCGTAATCAGGGTTCATAGGCAACTAATATTTGAAAGTTTGAACAAAATTGAACAACTCTAACGTCGCAGCTATGCTCGACCCTTGGAAAAAACGTGTCTTAAACCCATAATTGGGCAGCTAACTTTTATATGTATATTCTTGATCATCACAATTTTTCTGATTTTTTGAAATATGCCCCGTCAAAAAGTAAGAGCCCCATAAAGGCACTTTCCTTGTCAAAAAACTGTCTTGTCATTGCTTTTTATTTTCATTACCCAATTTTCGGTTCCAGACCCAGGATAGTAATTATTCCGGCAATGCAGCCAAATGTAATATGAACCTCTCAAAAAATTTTAAAAAAGTCCTAAAGCGGACAAAAAAGTGAATCTTTTTTGGCGGAAAGTTCAAAAATAGGGAATTTTGAAAGCCCCGAAACAAAAGGACTAAGGTCAGGAAAGTCAGAAATGTTGGTCTAACATTCAACGCGAGCCCGTAGGCGAAAACAATAGGATTTTTAACTGTTTTTTTGACTCGTAAGGTTCCAAACTTCAAGAAAATCCCGTTAGATTTTTTTTCGTTCTTTCATTTGTATACCAAAACATCCCAAGCTTACAAGGGAAGTAGCCCAAATGCGAAAAAAACTTCACTCTCTGTGGCAGAAATAGGCAAGAAACTTTTCATCGCACTTGGAGTATCAGTCTGTCGGGAAAATAGAGTGGATTTGTCGCAGCCAAATGTCTTGCCTCGTCGCAGTCACGCACCAAATCCCAATGAGATTCTTTTTGGAGAGATTAAGCTTGGAAAATGAAATTTTTTTTTGGGGGATTTGGACGTTTATCAGTCTGTCGGGAAAATAATGAGCACTCTATCGCTGCGCCGATAGCGCTGAAGGGAAAAGCAATTTGAGTTCGCCGCGACACAATTCATTTTCTCGGCGACGATGCAATTTTCGATGCCACAGAGTGCTCATTATTTTCCCGACAGACTGATAAATGTCCAAATCCCCGAAAAAATTTGTATTTTACACTCTTTTACAAGTTCAATCTCTCTCAAAAAAAAAAAAAAAATAAAAAAAAAACTCATTTGGATTTGGTGCGCGACTGCGATGAGGCAAGACATTTCGCTGCGACAAATCCACATTATTTTCCCGACAGAATTATTCGACAAAGTGCTCATTATTTTCCCGACAGACGGCCCCTTTCGCTGTCAGAAAAAATCCTGTAAAATTTTCGATCATCTAAAATGACCTTTTAGATGCAAGAAGTTTTAAGAATGAAATACTTTGGCATCTTATTGCGGAGCTTACAGCGCGCGATTAATTACAATATTTATATCTTCTGAAAGCGGAGCCTTTGTTCTATATCCATGCCAATTTTCAAGTCTCCAGCTTGAACGGCTAGCGAGCAATGAATCAAAGAAAGAGGTCCACTTTGAAAGAATCGAAAACATTCGGGGAGACCGGTTGTGTCCCAAAAGTACAGAATCCCCGCCCTCTCTTCTTGTAACAAAAATGAGGACTTCATGCCGAAATGTCGAAAACATTTCGCGGAAGTCTTGTGGCAATGTTTTATGCATTCCATAAATCATATTTACGACACTTTTTCGTGCAAACCGGTCGAAATTCCCGCTCGCAATGCAGCGTGTTGTTTGTGGGCGGCGGCGGCGTCCGGTAAGTTTTTATAATTGATCCTGCGGATATATTACCCTATTCTTGCGTAATTGTCATCTATTTTTTTCATTTTTTGAGTAATTGCGAGGATTTATGAAGTAATAGTAATGAATATTTACGGGGTAATTTCGCGATTTTGAGTAATTTTATCGGAATTTTAGGTGCGAATGAAAGCCTATTGGTGGAGGGTGTTGCATCCGACAAGATGGGTGAGTGTAGTGTGATTTTTAGTTGCCATTTCGACTAGCATTAGCATTTTCATAAAGTGAATGGACTTTTTGTTGTGCGGCCCAAAAAGTCCGGTTTTTATGGGAAAAAGTTCCTTATTCTGGCCACAACAAAGGTACCCTGCGAACTGCGACCAAACTTGGGAACTAAAGTTAGGGAAAAAGGCTTCGACCTAGCTGGCAATGAATTACTATAATAGCTCTATAGTTTTAAGGGTACCTACGAAGGCTATAACGACTCATTTAGTTCTATACGGAGGCAATCAGTTTACAGGGGAAGTACTCCAAGTGCGACGCTCAGATTTTCTTTAAATTTTGCACACACATCGGGTATGGACTAAATATAAATTCCTGAAAGTTTTAGCTCGCGCTTTGCGGGCGCCGCCGAGATATCGAACGATTTTTGCCGCCGAGAGAGCATGCTGAACGTGGAGAGCGGTCAGAGAGAAAAACGCCTTTTCACCATAACTTTGGCAGTTTCCAGCGGAAAATTTTGATTTTTTGTAGAAACATTATCCTTTACGGTAGAAATAGGCATGAAACTTTTTGTGCCGAAATTCGGCAAAAAGTCATAAATTTTGGCCAAATTTCGATCTAAAAATCTCGGTTGTTTCTGCAAAGCGCGACCTAGGATTCTCGCATAATTCTTAGACAAAATTATTCTAAATTTGTGCCAAGTTTCATCAAAATCTGAGCGGCGCACTTGGAGTACTTCCCCTGTAACTTTGGGCTAATTCTGACTAGTTTCCGCAAAATTATAAGTTGTGGCCAGAATAAGGAACTTTAACCTTTTTATGAAAACTGTGCAAGAAAAATATGATTTGCACAGTGCAATCGGCTTTTTTGAGGTTTGCACGGTGCGCAAAGGCAAAATTCCAGAGTGCATTGGCGACAAAAATTCAAAATGCTGTTTTTGGCTCAAAATGCACTGTGCAAAGCACTTTTTTCGCGATTTTTTCAGCGACGCGCCAAAAACGCACTGTCTAAATTTGTGGCTGATAATTTGACAATTTTAGAGGTCGTTGGTCTTGGTCGTTCTGTGTTTTAGTGCCAGTTTAGTAGTCTATAAGAGGTAAGTAGGCCATTTTTGATCAAATTTTTTCCGGGAAACTTGATTTTTTCAAAAATTTAAAAAAATTTAAAATATAAAAAAATATTTTTTTTGAAAAAAAAAATTATTTATTTTCAGTATAACAGTGACCAAGTCGATAAACGACGCGATGCAGTTCAGCAATCAAAAATACGAGCAGCTTCTCAACGACTCGTATTCCCCATTTCCAGCGCAATTCCCGTATTTTGGAAGCTTGTTGGAGAATGAGTGCAAATTCCCATCGCTTTTGCCATGGGAAAATGACATCTCGTTCCGGGTTGCAGGGTAAAATACGGTTTTAAATTTATCAAAAAAAATTTTAAAATATGTTTTTAAAAAAAAATTTGTTACGAAATATCTGATTTATGCAAATTTCAGGCCTCTAAGTTGCACCAAAAACATGCCTGATATTGTGACACTGGACGAGGAGAATGTGTTGAGTATTCATGACGACCTGGACGAAAAATGGAAGCGGAGGAAGGCGAAAATAAGGTCGGTTTGAGCGAAAACATGGATAAATTTGAAGAAAAAAACAGTTTTTATTTCAAAAAACCCTTGTTTTTATACAAAATTCACAAGGGAAGGCTTACAAGTAAGATGCTCAGATTTTCTTTAAATCTTGCAGACATGTCAGGCATAGGCCACATATCAATTCCTGAAAGTTTTGGCTTGCGCTTTGCAGACACCGCCGAGATATTCAACGATCTTTGCCACTGAGAGAGCACGCAGAATTCGGAGAGCGGTTAGAGAAAAAACAGTTTTTGGCCGTATCTTTGCCAGTTTCGCGCGGAAAAAATTGATTTTTTGTGGAAACATTACTCTCTACGGTAGAAATAGGCATGAAACTTTTCAAGCCAAAATTTGCAAAAAAAGTGTCACATTTTTGCCAAATTTCGACCTAAAAATCTCGGTTGTTTCTGCAAAGCGCGGGTTAGGACGCTCACATATACCTCAGAAAAAAAAAATTTCTAAATTTGTGCCAAGTTTTTATCAAAATATAAGCGTTGCACTTGGGATATTTCCCTTGTTACAGTGTTGGACCAGATCCAGTGGCAAAAAACGTATCATTTTGCATCCGGGAAGTATCAAAAACGTAGCAAAATACCTCCCTCCCCAAATACGTGAAAAAAACGTATTTCAAAAGCGCGCCCTTCCAGTCCTAAAAAGAGCAAGCGGGCTTTTGAAATCGGAATGCTTTCACTTGGAGAAGGAGGTATTTTGCCACATTTTTGATACTTCCCGGATGAAAAATGGTACATTTATTGCCACCGGATCAGGTCCGTCACAATAGATGAATCCCTTTTCCAGATGCACAGTATCAAAGCTATCCGGAGGGTTGAGGCCGAAAAACACGGAGATGCATGAGATCCCAACCAATCTCACTGTAAGATTATTATTTCTATGCTATTCGTGACGTATTTTAAACCTCTAAATCGGTGTTTTATTGCTTTTTTTAGCTCTACATGGACTCTAGAACCAAAATTGATATGGATCAGTTTGTTGTCCGTTGCTTTGAAACCCCGCAAACCGGGAAGAATGAGACGAAAAAAGATGAATATAAAATTTATCAACGGCCGTTCGCCGGGTATGCGAAGCAGGGGGTAAGCCTGTTCAACAATTTTTTCGGCAAAGAGAGTACGCGAAATGCATAGAGCGGTTGGAGAGAAAAATATTTTTTGGCCATAACCTTGCGAGTTTCGCTTGGAAAATTTTTTACTTTTTTGTGGAAATGTTATAATAAAACGGCGGAAGAAATATGCATAAAACTTTTTACAGTGACGGACCTGATCCAGTGGCAAAAAACGTACCATTTTGCATGAGGAAAGTATCAAAAAATGTAGCAAAATGCCTTCCTCTCCAAGTGAAAAAAGTCCTATTTCATGTGAGGGAAAGGGCGGTCCTTCAAAACGGAGTTTTTTCAGTTGGAGAGGGAGGTATTTTGCAACATTTTTTTGATACTTGCTTAATGCAAAATGGTACTTTTTTTTTGCCACTGGATCAGGTCCGCCACTGTCAAAAGTTTTACACATATTTCTACCGCAGTTTTATTATAACATCTTCACAAAAAAATAAAATTTTTTCCTTTGCGAAACTAACAGGGTTAGCTGCCGGGTGCAAAATCCAGCCAGTGTATGAAAAAAATTTGAAAAAAAGTAGAGCCAAATTGCAACTTAAAAATCACGGTCGTTTCTGCAACCGCAAATATCATGTCCCGAGAACCATGCCTGCTCGAAAAATGCGATCAAAATCAGCCCTTTGGTATCAAAAAGTTTCACAGAGACCCAAACAGACTAGTTAGGTCACTGTGAAACTTTTTGATACCAAATTTAAGCTCATTTTGATCTCCTGTCCTGATATCTTTTATTTTACTGATAATTTTTTCAATTTTTGGGACAAAAAGAAGACGCTGACAAAATCCACCCCTGAGAAGCCATCATTAATCGTCCTGGTGTTGGATTCGACGTCGAGAAATCAATTCCTCCGACATGCTCCAAAATCATGGAAGTTCATGGAGGAATTGGGATTCGTAACGCTGAAGGGCTACAACAAGATTGGAGACAACTCTGGAGTGAATCTATTTCCCATTGTGGCAGGAAAAACGCCCGAGAGGCAGGTGGGAGGAGACGGGAAAGAAGTCCTACAAAAAGAAGAACTGCCGGTTGTTCACGAAAACCATGAGCATCTCTGGGATTTGTTCAAAAGTATGCCATGCTGTTTGAAATTACAGTCGGACGTGATCCAGTGGCAAAAAACGTACCATTCTGTATCCGGGAAATATCAAAAAATGTGGCAAAATGCCTCCCTCTCCAAGTGAAAAAACTCCGTTTCGAAGGGCGCGTCTTATCACAAAAAGAGCGGGGGCGCTTTTGAAATCGAAGTTTTTCACTTGGAGAGGGAGGTATTTTGCCACATTTTTTGATACTACCCTAATGCAAAATGATACGTTCTTTTGCCACTGGATCAGGTCCGCCACTACAAGTCTGTTTTAGAGAGGAACTGCGTGACAATGATCAACGACGACATTATGCACCATTCTCGAGGGCTTTTTGCCTACCATCACCATAAAGGATTCACAAAACCTCCGACAGACTATTATTTTCGGCCATTCGAGATCTTCAATGTAAAGAATCAAATCCGGCCGAAGCTGGGGCAATGTACGGAACATGGAGAGGTGGGTTTTTACCACATGTGGCGGACCTGATCCAGTGGCAAAAAACGTACCATTTTGAATCCGGGAAGTATCAAAAAATGTCGCAAAATACCTCCCTCTCCAAGTGAAAAAACTCCGATTTCAAAACGGCCCTTTTTGTGATGGAAAGGCGTGCCCTTCAAAACGGAGTTTTTTTAGTTGGAGAGGGATGCATTTTGCTACATTTTTTGATACTTCCCGGATGCAAAATGGTATGTTTTTTGCCACTGGACCAGGTCCTCCACTATAAGGCCTCTAGGAATTCACCGAACGTGAAAAATATGCAAAATCTTTCCATAAAAAGGAACGTATTTTGTCTATTTTTCCTTTTCCAACCGCAAATGACGCAATATGAAAACTGCATCCCCCTAATTCTAAGTATTTTCAGACAGTCATGGGACAACACTTTGATCTCTTCGAGAAATTCACTCGAGTCTACAAGGATTATTGCCACTTCTCGTTCAACTTTTTCACCTCCTTGACGCATGACAATTCGTTCCATTTGGAGGCGGTGGATGAGCAAATACGGTAGGCAAATCGCCGAATGTCGGACCTATCCGGTGACAAAAAACGTACCATTTTGCATCCGGAAAGTATCAAAAATGTGGCAAGATGTCTCCCTCTCCAAGTGAAAAAACTCCGTTTTGAAAATCTCGCTTTTGAAATCGGAGTTTTTTCACTTGGAGAGGGAGGTATTTTGCTACATTTTTGATACTTTCGGGATGCAAAACGGTACGTTTTTTGCCACTGGATCAGGTCCGCGACTGTATGAATTTGCACAAACCTTCCCAATTTTAGAGACATCCTAGAGACCTTCAAGGGAATCGGCGCGATGGACAACACCGCCGTCGTTATAATGGGAGACCATGGGAATCGAATCGGAGCCGTCCAGTATTCGTATTCCGGGAGGATCGAAGAGCGAGCTCCGCTCTTCTCAATCTATTTGCCCGAAGGATTCAGAAAAGCGCATCCGGACTTGATGAGAAACTTCAAAACCAATGTCAACCGACTAACGAGTAATTATGACATTCATCGAACGTTGAAGGAGCTGGCATTGGGCGTGGAGGAGGATAAGGATGGTAAGCGGCAGGTTTGGTGTTTTTTGCACGGCACGGCCCGGGACAAAATGTCTATGCGCATTATCAGTCTGTCGAGAAAATAATGTGGATTTATCAGTCTGTCGAGAAAATAATTTGGATTTATCAGTCTGTCGGGAAAATAATGCGCATTATCAGTCTGTCGAGAAAATAATGTGGATTTATCAGTCTGTCGAGAAAATAATTTGGATTTATCAGTCTGTCGGGAAAATAATGTGGATTTATCAGTCTGTCGAAAAAATAATGTGGATTTATCAGTCTGTCGGGAAAATAATGTGGATTTATCAGTCTGTGTGGAAAATAATGTGGATTTATCAGTCTGTCGGGAAAATAATGTGGATTTATCAGTCTGTCGGGAAAATAATGTGGATTTATCAGTCTGTGTGGAAAATAATGTGTATTTATCAGTCTGTCGAGAAAATAATGTGGATTTATCAGTCTGTCGGGAAAATAATGTGGATTTATCAGTCTGTCGGGAAAATAATGTGGACTTATCAGTCCGTGGGGAAAATAATGTGGATTTATCAGTCTGTCGGGAAAATAATGTGGATTTATCGGAAAATAGTGTAGATTTATCCGTCTGTCGGGAAAATAATGTGGATTTTCCGCAACAAAATGTCTCGCCTCGTCCCATCCAACTGCGGCTAGCCTTCGCAAATCGATGAAGGGCGTTTCTACGGTGCGAAAAAATCCACATTATTTTCCCGACGGACTGACAAAAAATACTAGTATTCATTTCCTCTTTTCCAGCCTCAAAATACCGCGGATACAACCTATTCCGCGAGTTGGTCCCAACAACTCGCACTTGTCTGGACGCCGGAATACCGGAGAATTTCTGTCTATGCATGCCACAAGATCCGCTGCCAAGAATCGAAAGAAATTCGACAAAATTCCAGAAAATGGAAGAAGCCATTAGAAGCAAACTAGCTGAATACGAATGCCTCGATCCGGGGTCACTCAAAATCGAAGAGAACGAACTCAGAACGCACGCCATCAACGATGCGGCGAGGAAAGGAATGAGAAATATGCCCCTGTAAGTGGACTTGACAGCAAAACATTGATGAATGTCTCATGAATACCTTGTAATATTTTAGAGACGAGACCGAAGAGCCTCCGAAAATGTTCAAGGAACACCGATTCATCTATCCTCGTGTTACTGTAGCAACAAAGACCGCATCGATTCGCCGGCTACTCTTTGAAGTCAAGTTCTACACAAAAGCGGAGAGGATGAACGTAATATCCGATCCTGTTTTCATCAATGAAGACAATAAGCCATCACAAATTGCTATTGAATACATATGCAGAATACCCTAGTCGTATTTTGTCTGCCCTAGCCGTATATTTGTGTCTTATGATAAGACTTTTCGCATAAAATGTGTCTTTCCCGGTGCTCAACATATCCCACTACTGGATCAAATTATCATGCCCAATATTATTTCATTCCCGTGATTCCTTGTCAATACCGGTATTCTATCCTATTGTTATTACAATAAAATTATTACTATTTTATGCGTATACCAAAATAAGGTAAAATTATATGTGAAAACATTTCAAAACACCCAAATTTATGTCATATTTTATAGAACATGGTTTTATTCAACAACAAAACAAATAAAAACAGCTCCGTCTTATGCGACAATCTCGAATTTGACTGGAGCCAACAGTTCTGGGGCATTCAATTTGTTCACCTTGATCAGATGGGCGGCACGAGGTCCGGCGGGCTGAAAATCGAAAGTAAACCATCTTGTTTGTTATAAAAAAGAAAATAAAGCGAATTGAGATGCGAAATATAATTTACCTGTCTCTTGAGTGGTCTGTATTCAGCTTTGCCTTCCTTAACGTCGCGTTTCTGTTGGTCGTTCTTCTTGCATCGTTCCAAGAACTCGGCACGAGAAAGAGAGGGTCGGACGTGCTCCACACGAACGTTGATTCTCTTGGGGATGATACGGTTGCTGCAAAATCATATTGTACTAGGGAAAAATTTTTAATTGCTGGGGACTAAATTAGACAAAAGATGATGCGGAAGAGCTATTTCTTTTAATAAATTAAAGTAATTTTAGGCAACACTCAAAATTTTTAAAAATTTTTCAGCCGAGTAAAACGTTGCCCAAAAATCTACATTCCAGTACAAAATGGTATGAGTACATCCTAAATTCCCTCCTCATTAAAATCAACTACTGAAATTCCAACATTGCCTTCCTAAGAAAGTAAGCAAGGCCCTATTATACATTATACCTAAAGACCAAGCAATAATTTCTCAAAAAACTCACCGGACACGCTCGTTCACAATAACTCCAAGGCCATGAGCGGTGACGTTGAAGACGCGGCCAGTCTTTCCGTGGTAGACCTTGAAGGGCATGCCCTTGTGGAAGGCACCATTTCCCTTGATGGTGACGATGTCTCCTCGCTTGTAGGTGCGGTAGAAGGTGGAAAGGGGCTCGGTTCCGTGCTTCCGGAAGTCCCGGCTGAACATATAGCGGGTACCGCGTCTGTAACCGTTGGGGTTCACCATGTTTTACCCTGAAAATAAAACACGTTGAAGACGGCCAAGAACAATATAAATAGATCCAAAATGAGTAAAATGACCGTCGCGAACATCCAGTACAGAGACATAGAACATAAAGCTAACTAACTACAAAGTTTCAACTTTGTATCGCCAAATCGCAGTTATAAATTGAAGAAATTAGATAAATACCCAGTATAACATCCAAAAGGTTCCGAAAAAAGCAAAAAATCCCAAATTAAAAATCCTGCCTACATAAACGGTCACAACAATCCTTCAGACAGCTGTAAACCAACACCTCGCAAAAAAATTGGACGAAAACCAGCATCAAAAATCTGATTTTAAACCCGCAAACCACAAAATTTCCCACATCCCACGAAAACTGACCTAAAAAATCCACAAAAGACGAGTAAAAATCTAAATATTACTATTTACTACCTACAACACCAAGAAAACCTGTAAAAACCTCGTTTTCGGAGGTCGGAAAAAAATTTTTTGGAAAAGGAGAAATTGAAACGAAAAAAGACCGTAAATTTCTCTTTTTGCGAGAAAAAGGATAACACGGAGCCGAAAAATTGACGTTTCAGGGAGTTCGCGGCGAGACGCAAAAAGTCTAAATGGGCGATATTTTATACGGTGAAAGGTTACCGGGAGATAATTTTTTTGATGGAAAAGTGTAAAATACGTTCTTCGAAGTTGGCTTTTGGTATGTTTGGCTTCTGAATTTAGTATTTTCAGTTATTTTGGAGATTTATTTCAGGTTTAACTTGAGGTTGACTTTTTATACGACCAAATTTGTTTTTTAGATATTGAAATGCGGGAAAATACAGTAAGTGTTGTGGTGAAAGGTAAAATTAGAATTTCTTACAAGCCTCAAATGGCCTTAGAAGACGTATAAAGCCGTAAGAAAGGATAAATTCGAGTTTTTAGATCAGATCTTGTATTACACTTGATGCTTGATCAAGATTAGTCCCAAACGCGAACTTATTCAAACTTTACAACTAGCCATTACTCTTCACATCTTATCAGGTCGATTTTGGGGATGGGGACCAGTCGAACGGCCGATGACATTAATCTCGCCGGGCACATTTTGTGATTTTATCTCGCGGAGCCAACTGGTCGAGCGAGATGCGCGCGCAAAAATGCCAACGCATCGGGACTTGGCGGGGTGAGCGGGGAGGCTGGCACTGCCATTTTCGGGCCTGCACCCCCTTTTTCGATTGCGAATATGCCCAGGCTGGGCGTTTTCTCGGCTGCAGGAACGGTACTCTCGATCGAGGTGAAGGTGGGCGTTGATTTGGCCGCTGGAGAGCTGTAAGAGACGGGGCAGGAGTTGCCGGGTGTAACGGGAGGCTCGATCATTGACTTTTCTACCAAAATGCGATTATTTTTGGCTGATCTGGCTTCGATTGCATCAAAAATTTTGCATACCATTGAGGATCGACCTAATTTTAGACAAAATTTGTTGATTCCAAGGTTTTATTCGTCAAACTAGTGGGAAAAAATGTGTGTATATTTCGAGTAGACTCTTATTCTTTCCATTGACGAGTAATTCAACAGTTTTATTTCGTCTTTTCCTAAAGAAAATCAGATTTCGACCTTACTTTACACTAACCTTGTCTAGTTCAAAATTTCCACCTCTTTACTAAATTTTTTTTCCTCTCAAAAGTCTTTTTTAGACTTCTACTTCTGTAAAGTTTACTGCTTTAAGACCTCAAGCTTTAATTTCCACTAAAAATTAAAATTTTTTATATTACTTTGGTGTTCAATCTGCCTACTTCAATATCAAATTCATGCGAAAGGTGAATCGCTCTTTTTATTTCATTTTTCATACAAAAATCGCATGTACTTTTCATTCGAAAAAAGAGCGCCTCGTTTTTTACTGTATGATTCTATTCTTTGACATTTTTTTATATTGTACTAGACATCAACTGAATGGATCTTTGATTTTTGTCGGTTTTGTGGTCTAGTATTTCTTAAAATCGTTGAAATGTGTCGTACATGATGCAGAAAATATTGTGAGCTGAAAATACGCCGGATATCGAGGTTTTCAACATCAAGTTCTTCACCATCCTCTTCTTGACCTTTTGCCTCTCGAAACTGCCGCAGTAAATAAATATTCTTTGGTCCAGATATTATTTCATAATACCCCGACCCGAGTATGCAAACTTGGGCCCCGTAAAAGAACAATAAAAATACAGGTTTGGATTTCTATGGGTGCGGGGGACGACAGGTCAAGACTGGTTCGTTTTTTATTGCTCTAGACGAATCACTCTAAAGGACATGTTTATTGAGGGTAAAGGAAGATGGGGAGATGATTGGACTAGAGTGGGGGTTTATTAACACAAGGAGGGATATTGTAATTTGGGATCTTGTACTAGACTATTGGATAAAAAAAATTTTTTTTTGCGGTGAAGGCATTGAAAAAATCGGTACCCATTCTATCTGAGGAGTATAATATTTCTTCACAAAATCGATTTTGGCAGAGCGCAATTTCCGGAGAAACGGCGAATTTTTGTCTGACCGACTCTCCTCATTTTGCGTACTCTCTCGGAAAATTATTTCGTAGCTTCGCTGCGGATGAAAAATAAGAGCTGATACTTTGGGGGACTGATTAGTGATCTGTTAGGATTATCTATGCAAAATCGGATGAAAATGAGACAATTATATTATACTTGGGTGTCCGGTTAAAAAAAACTTGTCCGGTTAAAAAAATAATATTTTTTTTGTTCTACAGAGATTCCTGGCCTCGTAACTAAGTGTAACTAAGTTGAATAATCAAATTTCGTCCCCTTTTCGGACTCTTGGACAACTTTTTTTCCAAATCCTAACACCTGGGCTACTCTTGTTTTTGCGAAAAGTGTTGTATTAGGGTGTCCCATAAGTCTTGCAAATTTTTGGGTTTAAGAATTAACGTCTCATTTCGAGGGCCCAGAGAACTATACTTCTTAATGATTGGTACTGTTAGAACCACCATCTCTTACACTTGTTAACAGCATAAAAATTTTTAATTAACCACGTGCCCTCCGGGCAAATACTTGACATTCTTTAATATTGTCCAGTTTTGGGAAGGGTTAGGAAAACGATTCCGTACTTTGGTAAGTGAGGCTGTACCTTTACAACCACACTTTTTTATAAATCTACTGAGTACTCTGTTTCTAAACAAACGGCGCTTGCCACTGAATTCTTGCATATGACGCTGTCCTGCAGGTTTCTTGTATCAGGCGCCATGGTGAATATCACGATGTACATACTTTTGCGTATAAATTTTTTTGAGGATGGTTTCTCAGGTCGGGCCGTTACCATAATGAAAATAGCGTTAGATTTATGCGATTTAAGCACGGATCCGTTGGCTACCTTGTTCTGAATTACCGCTAACCCAAGAAAATTTGAAAAAATGAGGTGCATTTACTCGATACCAAAAAAGTTGGCATGGATACAAAAAATCTTGTAGTGCAGTGTCTTTTAAACATTGACACATGTATTTTATCTTAGCAAGAGGATTTTGGAATAGCGGTGCCAGGGGCTGAAAAAACACTAAATTTAAAAAATTTTCTGTAAATTTTAAAAATAATCCGGAAAATTTTGAATTATGTATATCTCAAGGCAAAAAATTGATACAGGCGGTAATTATAGCCTCATTATGTTCAAAAGCAAGCGTAGATTACACACGATGCACAGCTACGGCCAACACTTTCTACTGTCGAAAAAATAGGTCATAAAAACGTGAATCCAACAGTTTTCATATTGGTCAAACCACCACAAAAGTGCCCATGCCTGTATCGCAGCGTGGACTAGAATAAGATCCAAGGCTCTCATGCGTCCTATTTTCACGTTTAGTGGGCCAACAGATCTATTTTTAGAAAGCATATATCCATTTTAAAATCGGCAAGCAAAATTTTTCTTAATGTCTAGTACAATATCGGGGCAGTGTGGGCAGCAGGTGGATCTTCTGTGGCTTTGTCATATACGGTTTAGAAGCGCTTTATCTAAGCTTTAAACCAATACATCCAACATACTCCGTAATGCGTTTCAAAGCTTACAAGAATTCGCACAAGTCGACCACCCAAAAATTTGCAAGACTTATGGGACACCCTAATACTTGCACTTGGTAGACCCTCCGAATTCTCAGTACTTTCCGGATCAAACCGTCTCCTCTCCCTTCCTTTTCCCTCATTACATAACTCGCATCGCGGATCGCGGAAGTTTAAAGAGTTTTGTTTGGCCCCGCTGTTGACCCCGACCACAGAGTCGCCCCCCTTTTAATCGTCGAGTGCGTTTTCGACGGATTTTCCATCCATTTTGTAGATTCAATGGGCTCTCTCTGACATTGAGGGACTCTCAAACGGGTTTTTTGAGCGAAATCTGTGGGTTCGATGCGAATTTTGGTCATAACTGTCGATGAGAAACGAAAAATTTGATTTTTTCGGAAATTTTGATAGGAGATTTGCAAAATTTATCGATTTTTTGGTGATTTTGGACATTTTTTAAGCTGAATTTGGCTTGTAATTGTAGAATATGTTCTGAAATTTAATGATGATTACGAAAAAAATATGGTTTTCTGACTGTACTTTTATAAATTACAGTAATTTTGGTCACCAAAATCTCTAGAATTTCGAAATTTATTGATTTTTGGGGATTTTGAGAATAAGTAATGATGTCGACAATCGTATTTTACAAAAAATAATGACTTAATTTTACGGTGCCTTTCAAATTTCGCACTTTTCTGATCGTAAATTTGCATACAGGCACTCCATTCCCACCCTGTGGGAATACAACTTTTTCGGCGAAATTTCCGCGACAGCTGCACATTTTTTGCACTTGAATTCCCTCCTCAAATAATCTGCATGCAGAGAGCGCGCTGAGCGAGGAGAGCGGCGAAAATTGGTTGCCTCGGGGGCTGTCTGCGTCCAGTCTTCGCTCCCTTTTCGAATGGGAAATTCGCAGACATTCGCTGCGGTGTCTATGGGAGAGTACGAGAGTGTAGAGGCGAAATTGGCGACGAGTTTTGAATTTTTGGGTTGCGGGGAGGCTCATTGTGGTATAGGCTTGAGACAGTTGGGCAAGGGGACACCATGGAAGACCTCATTTGTGAAAAATTTGATCTATATAGGGCAATTTGTAAGACTCAAATGTTTATTTGGCAAAAAAAATTTTTTTGGACATCCAAAGAGTAAGAGGAAAAGCTTGATCGTCAAGGAGTTCACTCTTTAGAGTTCCGGTTTACAAAAGAAGTTCTCAAGGTGCGATGCCCGGATTCCCACTAAGGATGTATGGAAATCTGAGTGCCGCACCTCGACCACTTTCAAACCGGGCCTCCGAAGAGTGAATTCTTATCCTTACTAACAAGTTTTCGTCCCTCGGATCAGAGGCACTATTTGTTGCCGCATGTGATGTCATTTTTTCGCCGCAGAAACTAATTCCAAAATGACGGTTGAAGGCGGCAATCAAACCGATGGCAAACCCTTTGTTTCTCGTTTTCCATGTTTTTACTGGCATTTTGGAAGCCCCGATTTAATTTGCCTTTGTATTCGGCCCAAAAAACGCCACAGGACACTTTTCGACAGTACGGGTTTTGTCGACGATACCGCCGAAAAGAAATAAACGTGTGCCCGAATTTGAAGCAAAGAAATGTCATAGATGCATGAGAAGTCTCTTGGTTTTGGAGGGAGGAGTTTGCTCGTACTCTTGGTACGGTTTTGAATGTTGCAAGCTCTTGAGTATAAAATCAAGCTATCTTTTCAAAACCATCAGTCTTTCTGTGCGTGTTTGATACTTTTTGATACCAATTTTGAACACTTTCATTTCCCTATTGGTCTTTTTGTTGTCTAATATGAGAAATTGCACTTTAACCCTTTCCGGACGAGTCGGCACGTATATATTAAAATGAAACAGGGTACCCTACTGAGTAACGGCATAATAGTGGTTCAGCCCATCGAAGCGTTATTTGGGACTTATGACAAAAAATGTCCTAAAAAGTACCCCTACTTGACATATCACTTTTAAAATTTTTGCGACAAGCTGTAAATCGGAAACTACCCCTAAATTAAAGTCGAGGAGTCCTAGTACATCCAAGAACTGTCCAAATCGGAGCACCATAGGATTTGTTATCGATTTTTGGAAATTGAATTTTTAATTTTGGTCAATTTTGGGCCTAAAATCAAGTATATCTTCCGCGGGTATCAACCATTTCGGTCCAAATGTGGTTTTTCCGAATCTATTGTGATGCTAGCTTCTTACTAGAATATTTCCACAAAAAACCTATGAGGCATATTTCTGTAAAACGCGGAAATGTTGAAAGTGTAAAGGTTTGATCGTATAAAATATCGCCGCGAGCCGCGAAGGGACGGGCGCAGCTCGAAACGAGAAAATAAATGTATGAGAAATGGCATCAACAGGAGAAGTGCATAGAGTGGTACGTTCAATATTACAAAGTTGTAATAAAAAAGCTAAGTTAGCTGTTGTTGTAGAATGAATCTTGGTACAATTAATGGGATCAACAAGGCACGTATGCGACATGGGTTGTGATGAAAGTTGACATCGATAAAGATTATGATTTTCCAAAGGTATCTATGAGATTTTTAGCTTGATTTTTGCAGAAACCGCAGAGATGTTGGAGATGCCAAAAGTATCAACGGTTTTTGCCAACACAAGCTAAAAATCTGATAGTTCTCTTTTGAAAATTATAACCTTAATCGATGCCAACTTTCATCATAATTCATGTCGCATCTTGGCCTTGTTGATTCCATTAATTGTACTGAGACTTCATTCTACAACAATAGATAACCTTGTCTTTGTTATTACAACTTTGTAATAATGCACGTAGCTTCTTATGCACCTCTCCGTTTGATGCCATTTCTCGTACACAGACCCGATTCTGTTACAATAAATGGCCTCACCTTTCTCTATTACGACTCCATTCACCCCGAGCGCTCTTTATACTCTTTGTTTATCCCCATCGGTGCCCTTAAATCCGCCTAATTGTATATTTACATTGCGCAAACATTGCTCGTTTCGAATCCGTCTCGTCTCGCAATGTCTGTTTTTTGGGGCGATTTATTTGTTGCGCACTAAAATTTCGGCGCGTTTTATTGCATTTGGCCCTTTATGGGGCCATTAATGGTGCGGTAGATCGGGGAATAATTAATGGTGACAAAGATCGAAGGGATTTTTAATCGAAAAATCTTAGCATCCGACTTGAGTGATTTACTTTTCGAAAATTGTGGGGTTAAAACACCTTCGTATTTTACATTTTTTCGTCGTTTTGGCCCAAAATAAATAGAAATTTTTTGTCCATTTTCCTAAAACTTGGTCTAAAGTCTCATTTTCTCCTCTGCGGAGGGACATTTTCCTTTCGCCGGAGACAAGTCCCACCATAATTATTTTTCGTACAAAATTACGCACCTTTCCGCCTTTGCAAATTTTCACATCGCATTCGCGCGGGGTAATGGCATAATTCGGCCTTCCCAAAGCCGAACCGAATGCAAACTCAAGGCGAACTGCCCCCGAATGCACGGGCACACTTTTTTGCCGATGGAAATGGGACTTTTAGTGCTTTCGACAAAAGTCTCGAATGTTGTGTTTTTCAAAATTTATGGTGATTTATCGCTTTTGCCGTAAAATTTAGCGTTTTAACTCAATTTTTGGGCATCAGCGCTTAACAAAAGTGTCATTTCTTTGAGATTGTTTAAAATTTCTGGAAATTCGATGTCCAAATGTTGCAAAACTGGATTTTGTTAAAAATTTCTAGCTTTGTAAGGTGTTTTACAGAGTTGGTCATATCTTTTCTACTCAACAACATCCTATAGCCATGTTTTTCCTCATTTTATCCTCACTTTCCATCTTTACAGTGCATTCATTTTCTGCCATTCGAAATGCACAGTGCGTTCGTTCGTCCCCAACGATTGCACAGTGCGACGGGGAATTGGAATTCGCTTGTCGTTGGGCGGCACCGCGCGGTGCGATCTCATAGTGAGGGATCTTACAGGGCGGCCCCGCTTATGGCGGCAGTATAATCAAAAGACCGAAGAGGGGCTTGTATCAAAATTCAAGGCCCGTTGTAATTTCGGCGATGTAGACGAGGGGGGATTGAGAGTCAGTCCATCTGGAGGTGTATTTATCTTGCAAGTGGTGTTGGTTGAGGAGGATATTCTGTGAAATTTGGGGAAATTTTTGACGATTTCCTCAAAAAGATCCTTCGAGTGCGGTTTATTGCGCCTCTGGGGACATAAAAATTTAATTTTATTCTTATCCCCGCAGGGAATTCTCTTGAAGAATAGACAAAACAGATTTTTTGTACTTTATCCTTATTGGACCTAATTTTTTACTTCTGTTTGCAATTCTATCCTCTTCTCTCCCTGCTCCCTAAGCCTTCGAAATTGTAAAGTAACCTTGGCCCCTGTAGCCGCACTTTTAAATTTCTCCCTCCTTGGAAAAAACCCGTTACAATTTTTCTTTTCGTATACCGGATTGATCAAGGACCAAAAACCCCCTCCACTAGACGAGAAGAGGCGCGGTTTTTTATAGTTGAAGAGGAAAAAAAAAATAAAACTTGCTCTCGACCAGACAGACGGAGGGAAGGAAGGTCGATTACCTGCGGGCATTACATCCCCTCGTTATTGCGTTATGTGTGGGGGATAATTCGGTTAGTTTTCCCTTTCATATTGGGCTTTTCGTAATCTTCTGGTGGTATGTTTGTCGAAAATAGTATTTTATTATGCGATATTCGGTGGAATTTATCTAAATTGAAATTCTAAAGATAATATGCTCCGATTTTGATGATTTTGGAAAAAACGAACTTTCTTTAGCGAATCTAGACTTCTGAGAAAGAAAAATTGTAAAAAATCATTAAACTAATGACTTCAACGGTCAAATATTTGTCTAGAGGTATGATCTTAGTTCCTCTGGACAAATATTCGACCGCTAAAATCATTAGTTTAATAATTTTTCACAATTTTTCTTTCTCAGAAGTCTCAAGATTCGTTAAAAAAAGTCTGTGTTTTTTCCGAAACGCACTTGGAAATCCACTTTCCCCCATTTCCAGGAAGGATATAATAGATCGGGTGATCGTATCTTCGCAGATCTATAAAATTTTTACTTTCCAAACGCTCTTTTATTATGACAAATGGTCAATCTATAAACCCGATTTTTCGGTTGGAAAAATATCTTTACTGCTCTCTGCACAGTGGGGTGGGAGTATAAACCGAAAGTATAAACTCAAATTTGCGGGCCCAGCAGAGATTCTTGACGGCCTTTGCCGGTGAAAGAGTAAGGAAATGAGGAGATACGGTTAGCGAAAAATTTTTGTTGGTATATATCTTTGTGGATTTGCCCGAAATACGGAAAGATATATACCAAGAAAAATTTTTCGCTAACCGTATCCCCCATTTTCCTGAGCCTCTCATCGACAAATACCGTCAAGTATCCAGGCTGATCCTGCAAATTTTAGTTTATACTTTCGGTTTATACCCACTCCACTGTGCAGAGGGCAGTAAAGATATTTTTCCAACCAAAAAATCGGGTTTATAGATTGACCATGTGTCATAATAAAAGAGCGTTTGGAATGAGAGATTTTTTATCATTTATCGCTGCTTTTTCACAGTGCTACGACCACACTTTTCAACATATCGTTTTCGCACGTATTTTCAAATCCTTTCGCGCTTTCAACGATTTCAATATTTTTTTTCCATCAAGCCCTAAATTTGCGGCTTTCAGGTGTCGAAACCGGCGGGAAGCCGATTTTCCTTAGCCTAAGTGGTTGTTAATTTCCTCATTTCACAAAATTACTCCACTTTCCGGGCCCGAATAATCCCCTTTATGGCATATTACAGATCTAATATGTGTAATGTTAGGGCGTGTTGTAAATAATGAAACCTTGTGACATTTTTTTGTGGACACTTTGCGGGTGAGGAAAAAAAATGGATTGTCGAATTTTAATGTTGTGTATTTTTAAATTGAAGTCTCGCTGATCCCTCAGAATGAACCGAATTTTTTTATTTTTAAAACACGATGTGAAAAGTGTCGTTCTTTGATAGTCTGTCGGGAAAATAATGAGCGAATTCATCGATGCGGCAGAATGCTCATTATTTTCCCGACAGACTGATAGTAGCCGGCGCAAACCGATGATTTGAAGGCCCGACGAAGCCACATTATTTTCCCGACAGACTGATAGACATCCCAGTTGACGCAAAAAAATCGGAACATTCCCGAAGTATTGGCCTTTTTCGATGATTGTTTGTACTATAGTTTACCATTTGGCTTCCAGACCATTCGTCCCAGCCATCGTCTTGCCTCTCATACAACGAACATTTCTGGTCGGGCCTCCTTTCCCCCCGTCTTTTTGTTGT